GTTTTTATGTTCCATTTGGGAAAAAAATTATTTTTGAAATTTGCAAATGGTTGCATTCTTTTTTTAATTTAAATTATACAAACATAATATTTTAAAGTTTTGGTTTGTAAATTCTATCTTCATTTAATCTAGTTGGGCCAGACACCATGTGACATAGCATACTGTATATACGCACATAAACTTCAACACAATACTTTAGATTTTCTGGGACTTCTGTGTTAAGATGCCATTAGAGTCACTTGTGTTTATTTTATCTGAAGTAATTCACTCATGTTGAGGGAACAGAGTCATGAACTCAGGTTTTACCTTGCTGAGTTCCTTCTGATACTGAGGCATCTTCTTCAGCATCTGAGACAGTTCCTTAATGGTGGTCTGAAAGATAATACACACACAAACACATAAATATATATACACACGCCCACACACATGCAAGGTTTCCTCCAGGAAAATGGCTTAGCCCAGTGGTGGGACCGCTTTGGTAGCCCACCAGCAGCCCACTGTATTTTTGTTAAAAAATGTTAAAAGATGTCAGGACGTTGGAAAATATGACATAATTATGTGTTATTGTAAGACACTGTTGATAATACTTAAACACCATTTATAGCAAGGTCACCAACCTTTAGAGTGAGAGCTACTTCTGGGGTCCAGAGGAACATGAAGGGCTATAAATTTACACAGCTCCCCTTTAATTATAGTATTCATTTAAAAAAATCACATATTTGACTGCCTGATCAATAAAAATTTACTGGCTGATGTGTTAAATCATAAACAAGTATTTTTAACCTCTTAATACCTGAAGGGTTTTCATTCTGTGGACAGACAGATAACAGCAGCTCAGTCCTACAGGCCAGCTCTTCTGCTCCTTCCAGGTGTGGGCTTGCATGGACCTGGTTATGGTTTTGTGTTATTATGTCATTATGATAAAACTAAAAAAATGTTTTTAACCAACGCTTTTTCTGAAAATATATTGAATTAAAAAATTAATTTACATATAAAAAAACAACTTAAAAACATTGTTGTGCACTAACAGCTAAAGCAAATAAACTTATGACGCACTGGTGATGTGTCCCACATTTTTATGTTCTAGTCACCCCAGTCAAACATAAATCAAGTTTTGGTGTMGTTTCTTTTGTTGTGCTTGCTAATTCTTAACACAACAGTTACATGCAGACAGTTTAACTATTTTGTTTAGTGATCTCAGTGCTTCAGTAACTTTATTTTATTTAGTTAGTTATAGTCTTTATTAGTTTAGTTAGGTAGTTAAATATTTCAGTGTTTATTAATTGATATAAAGGCATTATGCAGTACATTTTTAATGAGAAACAGCTAAAACCCAACAGAGCTAAAATGTTCACATGAAAACAAAAGATTAGGCTGTTATTCATCATTAACCTTCTACACTTGAAGATATAATTTAGATTGTATCAAATTAGGATTTGCCAGGAGATGTGATGCTGTTTATTAACGCAAAAGTTACATGGCAATAAAGGAAAACATATTAATGTATTTGTTTTTATACATAAATACCCTCTTTATTCTAGACATATTTTCTTTTTAGCTCGTTCTTTTTTTCCCTCTCATTTCTCAGAAAACTCTTAAACATTAATTAGGTCTGAGCAGCAAAGCGTGGGGAAGGTCTATTGTAATTACCTTGTTRCAGTTCAATTTAAAATACTTTTTGGCCAAACGTTCTCATGGGCCTTATTTCACTAATTTTTCAGCCTTGAGGTTGTATATGGCATGAGGATGGTATGAGGCCACATTTGTACTTGAAATAGATTGTACTTGTTACATTATTTTCACATGGTTTATGTTTGTTTTTACYGAACAGCAGTTTGATYATTATATTGCTGATTATTTTAATGCAGCTTTGTGTCACCTTGTTATTTGAGAATTACTCAAAACCTCAAYAAATTGTGTCAGTCCTTCTATGTTAGACCAGGTTGATCCAGATTTCCTTTCATAGGCTTCTTCGTCTTTCCATCAATTCCTGGTGGGCCAGTCACTGCTCAAAATGCATGAGCCAGTTTTTTTTGTCCTAGTCCAGCTCTGGTTATGTAATAAAAAAAAAACCTATAATC